GACGCGTTTCAGAAAGGCGGGGCATAGAAGAGAAACAATAATGTACAGTATGTGGAAAATAATGTGTTTTTTCTTAAACCGCATAAACACATTTCATTACACCAAATACACAAAATAATGTTCTTTTTAGCAACATCATATGACCCCTTTAAAGACCTCAGTGTTCAGCGCTGTCGTGTATCTGAGCTGTTTTGATTGGCTGAGACGAGTTAGGGTTAGATCTCATCGCCTAGCTGGTGACTCACCATGGCTGTCTTGTATAAGAACTCATCTCACACACACACACACACACTCTCTCTTTACCTGCGTTTGGCTCGATGCCGTAATCGCAGTGCACTGAGCGCTAAACCAAACGTCCTGCTGGAATGAGAGTGACTATGATCCATAATGATGGAGGGATGTTTGGCTAAAGTCTTCTGCTCCAGAACAGTCTGTCTCTCCCTCTCTGTCTCTCTGTGTCTCTGAGAAGCGTTCAGGGAACGAGAGCGACGCCAGGAATCTCATGACCAATTCACACGCAGTCCAGAACTCACACTCACACACAACAAATCTTCTTCTCATTTCAGCAGTTCCACTTGTGTCGGTGGATGTTTTTCAGTGGCAGACGCTGATGTCTACAGAGCAGAGATGTCAATATAATGCTGATATGAATGACACTAAAGCAACTCCAGCATTACAGTGATTCAGACGCCTAAATGCTTCTATGAAACAGCAGCAACAGAAGTAATGTTCACTGAAGAGTTACATTTATCAGAATAAACCATTCATCTTCATTATATATTTCAGTAAACAAGAAGGCAGTATAAAGCTAAACGTAACCCTACTGGTGTATCGATGCACCTGCAGAAAGAAAGTGACATCAGCACTCCTGCTCGACCAATCGCAGTCCAGGACAGTGTAAAATACAATTTAATAACTACAAACATCTACTTTATCTATATGTACTACTAGTTAATTATTATTCATAATCCTTAAAAGAGACACACTTTTGTTAGTCAGCCAGACGCGGTTTACAACGACACACATACAGCCGCGCCACTAACCACTAGTGACTAGTACTCTTCAGCTGAAATAAGAACATTAGACAGGTTATTTACTGGTTTACTGGGTCAGTCCATCTCAAGTGGTCCAAAAACTGCTGGTTACTTGACCGTTTTTAATTTGAACGAGTACCTCTATGTATTGGTAATGCAAAAAATAAAAGAAAATGTACTTGGTTTAAGCACAGCAGCGGTCTCTAACCCAAACACATTAAAGAGGTTAAAGAGGTCTTGACAGAAACCTCAAACATCGTATATTCTGCTGTGTCTGACAGAGTAAAGAA